ATTTATTTTATTTATTTATTCAGCACAATAGATAGGACACAAGATGTTTATTACATTCTTTTAGAGGGGTAAAAAAACCCAAACTACATATTAGTGAATAAATAAAGATTGTAATAAATGCCTTGTGTCCTATCAAGTGCACTCAATTGTGCTGAATAAATAAAATATTATATGTATTTGAAAAGTCAGAAATAAGCTTGTTTGACTGAAACATGTTCATAAAGCCAGATATGAGAAGTCATGAAGTTGCTTAATATCAACCAACACAAGTTCAAAAATGCAGATCAGGCTACAATGTCAATCAGAAATTGGGATTTTACTTAGTCATGTTGAAGTTGTCTGAGTTGACATCAAAAAGATGGAAAGAAACATTTAAAATGTATATAAATTGGCCAATAATCTGCTATCACTAGTACAACAATAAATGCAACAACTTTGTCTAAATTCATAAAATGATAATTTATTATCAGCATTTCATTTGTCATCATCGTTGTTGACTATTGTTGGCAAAATAGAAATGATTTTTGATAATAAGTTATGAGCTTCTGCCAAATTTGTTAAAAAAAAACATGTTTGAAAAATCAGAAAAGGTCACTCAGATTATCTTCTAAGTTGACATCAACAAAATTTATTTTGATGTCACTCAGTCAGATTCAACTCGGTCAGATTTGACTTTTCAAATACATCCATCATTTTTAGTTCCACTTTCATCAGCAAAACAGTGGAAATAATGCTGTTGTGCACAAACAAGGCACAAGGTTGCAAAGTCAAGTTAGGATTATTGTTGTAAATCAATATAATTATTTTAATCATCAAAATTCACTTTTATAGCAATGAAAGAAGCAATAACTTTATACCTTATTATTGTGTCATGCGTCTTAATTGTCAAAAGACTAACCACTCAACAAAAATAATCTTGAAAAGTTCATCTTTGGTTGAAGTGATTATAATATAGAATGAGCAATTATTTATTTTGACATTAAAAATTGTAGCCTGGCATTGTGACAATCATATTTTTAATTTATTTAATTTAAAATATGTGCTCTCCACCTCAAATTATTAGTAGTGGCTTGCCCCTGTATATCATACTTTTCCTGTAACAATAGATTTTTGCCAGTCATCTATTAACTGCTTTTAAAGAAAAATTTTTGAATTGAAATAACATGACTTCTGATTTTCATCAAAAGTTCATATATAGTTAACAAGGGCCACCTACCCAAAGTTTCCATATCTGGTCTTATTTTTCATCTAACTCCATTCTCAAGATTATGAAGACAGACAGAAGGATGGACTACAGTGGGAATTTATAGGTCTACAATTTTTTCAAACTGCAGCCCAATAACATTAACAGTTGCTTTCAAAATGGTTCTCTGAAATATCATTATCATATACAGATGGAAATTAAGATAATTTATTATACAACAATGAATATACAGTTAAATATTCATTGTTGTATAGCTAATGCAGTTAAATAAATTTTCATTATTTTTAAATAATGTATACATTGATTTCACAAAAAATTACTGTCCTTGGTGTAATGAAAAAGAATTTACTATAATTCATTTATTAAAATACTAGCAGGTAGGCCTGGCATTGCTCGGGCAAAAGTAACGATAGCGAAGATTAAAAATATTATGTTATAGTCAACCTTACCTGTTTTCACAGAATGCAAGAATTTGATCCCCCTGTTTCCGGACTAATTAGAGAATTTTTAGATGGGTCTAAAATATGTTCAATTTCCTGCAAAACGAAAAAAACTACATCTGCGTCTTGCATGTCGCTTTCTTTTAACAATTCCATTGTTACGTAACACTTCCATTGTCGAAACCTTTGTCCTGTCTCTCTTCTGGGGAATTTCGAAAAATCCCTTCTTAGTGTGCATTTTCGTGACATACTCTAACTGTGTACCAAATTTCAACTTTCAACTCCTAACTGTTTGGGCTTTGCNCATCAACTATAAGACATTTAGGCAAATTCTTAGAAATCAAACTTATATAATTATTTAAACTTTAATACTGATTATAAATCTAAAATAAAATTTCTACTACAGAACTCAAACATAATTTATAAATTGCAAATATAGATAACAAGTATTTTAAAAATGATTATTTAAACAATAATCTGAAGTAATTCAATAATAACAACATTGAGTGCAATACATACTAAAATTATCTCACTATTTATAACAGTAAAACCTCTAAAATTGAATCCCTCCTTAAGAGAAACGGGATTGTAGGTTTGCAAACAATATATTTTTTTACACCTTAATCCAAACAAAATTTCACTATTTCAACATTATTACTCCTCAAATTGAATTCAGCAGATATCAACCAAACTAAGTTCTGCAAATGCTTATGGTGCTTATGTATGAACTTTATTTGAGTTTATAAAAAATTTAAAATTTGTAAATTGCCTTGTAAATTTAATGCAGCGGTTAAACAAGCAAATGACATAATCCATTTCATTTGAAACAGACTGTCATTGTGCCTTTTATTCATGAGCAGGTTGCCAATTTAGTGGAATATTGAAATTTAGCTGAAACTCTGGTAGGAAACAATTTTTGATACATGTTAATGGGTAGTAAAGCATTTAGTGGAAATTTTACAGGTTAAAAAAATTAAAAGCCTCAGTAATTCCATAAGTAGTTCTATCACAAAAATAACAACAAAAAAATGAGACCATAGACAAAAATTGGGCAGCATAAAATCTGGAAAAATTGCCCACAGTATTTGTATTGCACTTACATTATTCTCCTGGAGCCATATTCTGGTCGCTTATCTCTCGTCTCTTCTTTCAGAGATAAATAACATCAAAACAAGAGATGAAATTCGTCTCTCAGAAACAGCAGCAATTTTGGTCACTTTTAAAGATTTGTCTTTGTTGTTGATGTCACAATTCTGCTAGTTGCTTATACATGTTTGGGTTATCTACACATGCAACATGCTATAGAATTATAGCCAATGAGATTGTAAAATTTTCGAAAATGCAGAGTATGTAATTAAGATCATATGGTAAGGAAAGCACATTTTGAAGAAAGATATGTTTTTTGTTTTATAACGTTATTATATATTTTGATGTCAAATTGTCTCTTCAGAAATAAAAATTTTAATAACTTAAGTTAGAAAAGCATGTGTACTTAGTTAAGAAGAAATTAGATGGTAATATTTTGAAAAATACTTAGAGAGATAAGATTAACATCATATTCAATAGTTCAGTAATTGATGTAGAATAATTAAAAAAAAAATGGAATCAGTGACATTCCCGAGTAGTCACTGGAAAAAAATCAGAAGCATTTTTTTTCTCTCTCAAAATATTCTTTTCCAAGATAGAGAATGTTCTCTAATACAAATGTATAGCATGAATACAGTCATCCATATTGGATATAATCGAGGCAAAAGACAAAAGACAACTATCTGCTTGTCTCTGAGAAATGAGAAAATATTCAAGAAAAAAAGTCATCCAGAATTATGTTTGGAGAGACATGATGATCTCTTGAGATGTAAACAAATGATTAGTCAATCGGCAACCGGCTTGTGACATAACATAGACAATGTGTCTCAGAGATGAGAGACGATGACCAGAATATGGCCCTGGTTTTCAGTTTTTCACTAATAACAGATACTCACAACAACTGAATATGAAAGCATAAGACAATAGATATGGAGAAATGATTTTGTTGGAAAAAATTATTCATTTAAAAACAGTTTATGATACAGTTTATTAATGTCTTCCTCTTTCAAACAACAAAGCAAAAATCTCAGAATTATAGCAAAAGAGAATGCATAAGCAAAAGTATTGTAAAAATGGGAAAATTTCTTGAACTAAAAGGTACTCCAAAAAAAATGCATTGACTGTTTTCTAAAACAGTCAATGCATTTTTTTGGAGTACCTTTTAGTTTAAGAAGTTACAAAAACTGGTTTTGAACAAGTTGAAGCTTGTTAGTAAAATATAGTGTTGAAAAGAAGTAGTACAAGTTTTCTCAAATTATCTGTAAATATAGGTAACCCCTGTATAACACGGCACTTCTATAGCACAGATTCACTCTAACACGGTTCAAGAATTGGGAACATCCCCCATATAACATGGTGGTTTTATAGCACAGGTTCACTCTAACACGGTTTGGGAATTGGGTAAAACCCTTGTACAACATAAAATGTAATAAAGAGTGGGTTCTTTTATATCTCCGCGTAAGCATTCTAATTGTTTTCGTGGCTACTTTGAATGCTCTTTTAACAAATAATCCATTTAATGGTTAAAATTTACAATTGGGACTCTTCTTTTGCCTCTAAAAGCTCATTTTAGAGTTATAGATTCCTCCATCACGATACTATCGGTAGTGCGGGCGCCGCCATCTTTCTTTCACCGTCTTTCCTAAATGACTACAAACAGCAGCACTCCCTTTGCAGAGCAACCGCTATTAACGAACACATCCACAAACTGTTACCAGTTGATGATGCTCATGCTAAGATTACCATACAGGATGAATAATCCTCTGGTAAAATATTTACTTAAATAATAAATAAGTATTTTTTTTACCTATGAAAAAAATTAATAATAAATCCTATTTAAATAAGGATTTAACAACATGTTTTTTAATTTTTTGGAACCTAACCTCCCTTTTCGCACTAGTTCTTTGTTTCATATAACACGGATTCGCATAACACGGCAATTTTTTGGAACATAACTCCCGTGTTATACGGGGGTTACCTGTATTAAAATCTATGGATCATTACACAGCATAAATCTATGTTGTGTGTTAACCTTCAGTTCTTATATTATCCACTGAAAATGATGTACCATAAAAATGCTATTTGTCAGTGAATGATAATACTAAATCACATGTCACGAATACTTTTTGCATAAAATTTAGTTGAAATAACTGGTTGAATAAGTTAATAAAATTAATTTTACTTATAGTAGTATTGAAATGAAGATTAAGTAAACCATTTAAAATGAAAATATAAATGCTGTAGAGACAATTTTTAATTAATAAATTTACCTGCTTTGAGTAAAACTATTTGATCATCCTGAATAAGCTTCATAAAACCAGGTACCATTTTAGCAAACTCAATAATTTGTTGAATTATCTGTGTTAACTTCTGAGCACAATCTAACCACATCTGCTCATGACTCTAAAATTTAAAAAAATATGTCATAAGTGAAAATTGATCATTTGAAAGTATATTTATAACATTTTCTAAAAAAATATTAAACTGAAAGCCATTTTCTAATGACAAAATCAAAATATGAATCATTAGATTGAATATTTTATGAACAGTTCAAGTATTTTTGTTTACAAAACAGCTTTTCCATGAATAAATAAAATGAATATTTTTTTCTTTTTTTAACTAAAAATGTTATTTTTATAATTAAAAGTGCTTTAATATATATTATTGTTACTTTAATTTGATTTGTGATAGAGAAGTTATGTAGAATGTATTGGAAATAAGAAAAGAAAAATCTATATTTATTTTATTGTTTTATTGTATTTTATTAAGTTTTCACATGTCCACCACCTCATTAGTAATACAAAGGGTAATATAATTTTGTAGTTCTTTAAAGCTTAGTTTCAAAAAATTGTTAAATTATTGTGTTGAAGAGTTACTAAATAATTTACTTAAAATTAAGTACATTAAGCTTTCTAATACTTTCTACAGATTTTTTTCTATCACAAATACTAATAAAATTATAAATTTTTAAAATTGCACATGGACTTTATGGACACCGTGTATAAAACTATCAAGCTTACAGATTTTTGTTTATATTAAAAGTGAATAATTAATGAAATTCAGCTGTCAGTGCTTTTAACAAATTTTGAGAGAATTCTATAAACATTGTTATTTTAAATTTATAGTCTAATTAAATACTGTGTAATTACTATATACTAAATACTGTGTAAATTAAAACCTTATGAATATAGCAAAATATTAACTTTATGAAATGTGAGCATTGAGAAATGTTAATGAATTATCAATATTGTGAAAAGATAAAAAAATTTTCCTCATGTTTAATCTGAATTTACTTTTAAAAGAGTATTATTTTCACTTAAAATTTCAAAAAATTTTATCTTAGAAATTACAGAAGAACCTGTTGACTTTTATAAAAAATTTTGATTGCTTAAAGTGTTAAATATTCAATCAACCTAAAATTTATCATATTCATAGATATAAATATAAATCTAGTCATAATTTTAATCTATTCAATCAAACAAAGATATCTAAAATTATATTATTAACTGTAAAATGCTATAAATTTATAAAATAAATGTTAGTAATTAAATATAGTATTTTTCAATTCTATACATGATCTAAATTTAATTGAAAAAATAATGTATTAAATCAAAAATAACATTACATTTTAATCAATTATAAAATACATTATAAAGTTATGGAAATAAAATTTTAAAAATAAATTTTATGATGATGTTACTGCATTAAATTTTTAAAATTAACTGATAATTAGTTATTGCTTATTAGTTTGATTAAGAATGATTCTGTTAAACAATCACTTTAAAAAAAGTTTCTGTTTAATTTTATTATTTTAATAATGATATATATAATATAATATATAAATTTATATGTATGTATATTTAATAATAATAGAGTCTTTCAGGATAATGACTGATACAATATAATTAAGCCACTTATATATATCAAATGTTACATATAATTGGTAAACTATATTATTGTGTAGATGGAGCTAAAGTGAAATAGATCTTAAATAGCATTTGTCAATGTACAGTACTTCTAATTGAAAAAAATCTAGCTACTAGCTACAATTATCCTAATGAATGGGAATGTAGTTTTAATTTAGATTAAAAATTTTTTCAGAATTTTTAAAAATTGAACAAAATAATTGTTATATATTCTAAATTTAAATTTATTAATTAAAATATTATAATTACTTACAAGAAAATATAATTATTAAAATTGTTCTTTATGTAAATAATTATAAATATTTTATTAATATACTTTAAATTAAAATATATATTTAATCCAGTATTAAGTTTTTAATAACTATAAAATATTTTCATTAATTTTTAGCTATCTTCAGATTTGAACAAATTGAAGAGTTTTTAAAAGGTGTTGTTTAAACAAAATATCAAAATTAACTTTAATATTTAAATATTTAGCAATTTTAGATTTCTTCTGCTTTTGAAGATCATTGACAAGTTTTAAAATGTTTTGAGCAAATATAATAATTGAATAGATTCATTTTAAGAATTGCTTACATTCAGATCTAAAGATGGCTAAGTACCAAAAATTTGTATTAAAAACTTACTTATTAGAGTTCTATTTATTTGTCTTCAAAGTATTTTTATCTGCTGTTGTTTTTCAAAATATATATTATTTATTCAAAATATGTAATGCTCATAATTGCTAAATATTTGTGTATTAAAACTGAACTTTAAATAGGACTGTATTCATGTGCTAAGACCTAGTAATAAATAAATCATAAATTAAAAGTGTACGTGATTATGTAATTAACTAATAAAAATATGTAATTAAAACTACTAAAAAATTCATTTTACTTATCTTTGGTTAGTTAAAGAAACTCAAATAATTGTGTAAACAATTTACTTAAAATATTTCTATATTAAAACTACATTCTGATATTAAATTATTATTTTTTAATTTAAATCTGGAATTATTAGTTTAACATGAAAAATTAAGTATTTCAATAATAATAATAATAATAAAATATTAATGATATAATAGGATTTTATATATATATTGAAGTACTTAATTTGACTACATAGATATTAGTCTTCAAATTCCAAAATACCTTTATTATTTTAAAAACATCATATGGATATTTAATTGACCCAAAGATAATTACAAATATGTTCAGAAGTAAAATTCTTTAATTTTCTCAAAAAATTAATCTAACCTGAACCAAGTTTAAGTAAATGAATGAATAAAATACAAAATATTTCATTCATTTAAAATACATTCAAAATATATTCAAATTTTTCTCATTTATTAATAAGTAATTACAATAATTTCACGTGGATAACTCATAGTGATGTACAGTTGACCCCCCTATAACACTGTTGATAATTCTGTTTGATAAGAATTCCATGTTGTACGAGTCACTTAGATTTTACAAATATGTGCTCCGGGCTGTGAATGGCTCACATATTTGTAAAATCTAAGTGACTCATACAACATGGAATTCTTATCAAACAGAATTATCAACAGTGTTATGGTGGGTAGACTATACTCTACATAAAATTGTTAGAATGGAAATAAAACCTTTGCATAATCCATACCTTGGAATACTCTGCATCTCTGGAACAGCTATTTAAAACATAAAACTTACTCATACGCAGGTTAGAAGGTATCATCTTCAATATTAAAATATTGATTTTTTTTCTACTGTTTCACTTCTATTAATAGTTTATTGTAGACGTAATTATAAAATAAATGAATTGGAAAAACAAATTACTGAAGGAGAACTACTGAACTTCATTTGTGTTCAAGTGGTCACTGGATGACATTTTTTTATCTAATTACTTCATTTAATTGTTTTATTGATCAAATGATATTAATTATATTTATTTAACAAAAATATGAGCTTCCTTATATGATAAAAGACCTGATGGATTGTAATGGTCAGGATATTAAAATTCTAGTTTTGGACATCCAATTACATAAATCTTTACTGTTCGAAAAAAGTTATTTTACAATAATCTTTTATATTTCTGCACTGGAGAGTTTAAAAAATTAAGCAAATAAAGCAAAATAATATAATATTATATTTCTTTGCAGACACACTAAGGTGACATATATCAACACTTGGCAACTTATTGACTATTTATTCAGTTGGTCAACTGAATAAATAGTCAATAAGTTGCCAAGTGTTGATATATGTCACCTTAGTGTGTCTGCAAAGAAATATAATATTATATTATTTTGCTTTATTTGCTTAATTTTTTAAACTCTCCAGTGCAGAAATATAAAAGATTATTGTAAAATAACTTTTTTCGAACAGTAAAGATTTATGTAATTGGATGTCCAAAACTAGAATTTTAATATCCTGACCATTACAATCCATCAGGTCTTTTATCATATAAGGAAGCTCATATTTTTGTTAAATAAATATAATTAATATCATTTGATCAATAAAACAATTAAATGAAGTAATTAGATAAAAAAATGTCATCCAGTGACCACTTGAACACAAATGAAGTTCAGTAGTTCTCCTTCAGTAATTTGTTTTTCCAATTCATTTATTTTATAATTACGTCTACAATAAACTATTAATAGAAGTGAAACAGTAGAAAAAAAATCAATATTTTAATATTGAAGATGATACCTTCTAACCTGCGTATGAGTAAGTTTTATGTTTTAAATAGCTGTTCCAGAGATGCAGAGTATTCCAAGGTATGGATTATGCAAAGGTTTTATTTCCATTCTAACAATTTTATGTAGAGTATAGTCTACCCACCATAACACTGTTGATAATTCTGTTTGATAAGAATTCCATGTTGTATGAGTCACTTAGATTTTACAAATATGTGAGCCATTCACAGCCCGGAGCACATATTTGTAAAATCTAAGTGACTCGTACAACATGGAATTCTTATCAAACGGAATTATCAACAGTGTTATAGGGGGGTCAACTGTACATCACTATGAGTTATCCACGTGAAATTATTGTAATTACTTATTAATAAATGAGAAAAATTTGAATATATTTTGAATGTATTTTAAATGAATGAAATATTTTGTATTTTATTCATTCATTTACTTAAACTTGGTTCAGGTTAGATTAATTTTTTGAGAAAATTAAAGAATTTTACTTCTGAACATATTTGTAATTATCTTTGGGTCAATTAAATATCCATATGATATTTTTAAAATAATAAAGGTATTTTGGAATTTGAAGACTAATATCTATGTAGTCAAATTAAGTACTTCAATATATATATAAAATCCTATTATATCATTAATATTTTATTATTATTATTATTATTGAAATACTTAATTTTTCATGTTAAACTAATAATTCCAGATTTAAATTAAAAAATAATAATTTAATATCAGAATGTAGTTTTAATATAGAAATATTTTAAGTAAATTGTTTACACAATTATTTGAGTTTCTTTAACTAACCAAAGATAAGTAAAATGAATTTTTTAGTNTTTTACATGCGATTTTTTGTTACGTTTAGTCTTCATTAAGTACTTAAGTGTATTAAATTAATAACATTTCAGACATTGTTATAAATATTTTTATATATTTTAACCAAATGTTCGAACCTTTTTAAATTTGAATTTGTTATTGCATATTGGTTTGATTATAGAACGATCGTAAATGTTCCAGAAAATTGGTCAAATTGAAAATTGTTTGTTTGATTCTCAGCAATTCTTATCATTCTCGGCGGTTGGTGTTATATAACAATTACTATGATTGTTGAAATACTGAATATAAATGGGATTTGCTTGCAAAATCTCCGCGGGCAAAGTCGCGGGTAGCAGCTAGTTGTTATATATAATTTATGACTCAAGATACAAGAGGGAATGTTTAATAATGTCAATTAAAGCATAAATTCATATATAGAAAATGAACTGGCAAGAATTATAAATGCAGCATATATAGCCTATATGTGTTTTGGTGATTTGGAAAAAATAAAATTTTGTAGAGATGCTTTTGATAAATTTAGACACAGGAAAGGCTGTTTAATAAGCTTATAATTTTAACTTAAAATCGTGGACTTTTCAATTCAATTTAATAAACTTTTATTGTAAGTTTCTCCCATTACATAGGAGTTACGATACAAATTATATAACAAAGTTTTATAAACAATGTAATTACAACCATTCCTCCTACAATTATCAAACATAAGAACAAATGAGATTCTATTAGTCTTGAACCATAAATTTTTGAAAATATTCAATAGTTATACAAAATAAATATTATCTTCACATTAGACTTGAAAAAAGGATATAAATACTTTTCATCTTTAATAATCTCAAATGGACTTTAAACAAAGATAACTTGTGGGTTATCCACACAAAATTATGGCAATGAAAAATTATTCTTTATATTTTGATATATAAATACTAATTTTTGATATATTAATTTTTTATTTTATATTTGAACTAATAGTTAATGTCCAATATGAAATGACAAAAATATATTATTAATAATAATTGTAATATCATGCCATTTTGTTAATAATCAGTTAAATAAATATTGCTTGACAAGCATTAGCTAACAGTATTATCTTAAAGTATTTCTATTAAATGTAAATCAAAAAAGTTACTAATTATTAGTATTAAAAATTTAACTTAAAAAAATTTCTATGTATTTAATGGATAATTTCAAATTATTTTTGCACTAGAATGTTATATATCACAATCACATCTAAACTGAAACTAAAATTTGTGCTTAAATTGTAATTTTGTTAAAAGACAGTGATGGTAAAAATAAATTTTTAATGAATTAAGCATAAATTTTGATTTCAGTTTAGATAATGGTGGTCAACAGCTATAATTCCTTGTTTTTTAGACTTTTGAATTAAAAAATTAAATTTGTTCAAATTGAACAATAAATTATTTTTCATGCAAATTAATTTGTGGAAAAATTATATTTATTAATCAATTTCTTTCTATATCTTTGTTAATACTTTCATTCATTCTTGCATATTTATTTTTGAAAACTGTAAAATATATATACATACATATAAATATATATTACATTTTATATTATTTAAACAGTTTCAGAGATATTTTATCTTCATTTTTCAAATATTTTTCCTAATGCTAAAAAAAAACAAATAAAGAAAATCTTTCTTCACTTGTTTTTTGTAGCATTAATTAAATATTTGAAAAATGTGTTGTTCATTTAATTAAAAATTTGCTTTAAAACTACAACTAGGAGAGCATTTCATGATCTACATACAAACATTTATATTTTATTATGCCTACAATTAAAATAATCTAAAGTAAAATAAATATGCCCAATCACTATCCCATATGATGTCTCATTAAAAAATATTAATGACTTGTTTTATTTATCATTAATATCAGTAAATTTGAGAATATCTCTAAAATATTAGCTCTTCAATTTCTAGTAATTTTCTATACTAAAACTTTAAACTCATTACAGTAAATTCCTGCTAACTTTAACCTTACCAACTAAGAAAAATTTTTGCAAAAAATTGAACAGTAGTTTAAAGTTTCTTGACAGTAGAATAATTTTAATTATAATGAGATTATAAGTAATGAATGCTTTCAATATCTGGAAGTTTTTGTGATACTATGCATTATATATACAGTAAACTTACTGTATTCTGTAAGTTTACTGTACTATCATGAAATTTTTTGAGTTCATCTCCTACAATAAGAAATTCAGCATGATAACCTACTAAAGCTCAGTAAAACTTCTATATTGAGCTGATCTTAATAAATTACTGTACTGTATATCCACCTTCTCAATTGATGTTACTCTGAACAATGTTAATTTCATTCTAATTTTAATTGATATTTTTTTCAAAGATATTTAAATCTTATTAAAACTGATTTAATTTTTCATATTAGTTAATAACAGGAATCATTCTCAAGTTAATCTATAGTTTAATCTGTAAGTTTGTAAAGATATCTTAGCATATTGGCAACTTGATAATAGCAATTAATTTATTGTAAAAAGCAATTATTGTAAAAGATTTTTTTTACATACCAAATTTTTATAGAATATTAACTGAGCAATGTCCTGTGATTTAAGGAACATTTCCATTATTTGTTCTGTCGTATATAAACATGTCCTATTATGTGCATCAGCTATTGTCCTTGTGAGAAGTTCTGAAATAGTTAAATTGTTTTAATTTCAATTTAATATTAATTTATATATTAAATTTAACACATCAATAAACCTTTGAGCCCAGCAAGTAATTTATTTTATGCAAAAGTTTTTGATCCTCTTTCCTAGACATCCCCAGGCAATGTAGAACAACAAAATTTCGAACTAACAGAATCAATGAAACATTCACACAAAATAAATCAGTTGCTGTACTCAGAGGTCTTTAATGTATTACTAATTAACCAGTTCTTATAATTTAACAAAAGTAAAGATTTACTAAAACGTTACAAAAAGTGGAATTGGGATAATAAGCAACAAGAAGAAACCATACATTAAATTCTAGCAATATTGAATTTGTATAATAGAGTGTATAAGACCTAAAGCAGGTTTATCAAGAAGGTTGAAAATATTTGTTTCTCCAATTAAATATTGATGGAATTTAATGTATGGTTTCTTCTTGTCATTGACTAAATAAGAATTTTAATAAAGCGATAAATTTCACTTTTTAATAAAGATAAATATCTATAATCATAATATATATAAAGTCATATCTGCTACTATGAATTCAAAATTTAAATTCATACATTTCTAATTTCTCATTCATGATACAACAAAACAAATCAGAACTTTTAGAAAACTAAAGACTTTTAAAGTTGTCTTCTGATTATTAAATCAAATTTTTATAGAATCCTGAGAATTTATCTTTTTTAAGTGAATTTAAAGCACCTGTAAAAGAAACTTCTAATAATTTGATTTCATGGTATCTGTTAATTAATATGAATTGATAGAAAAGATCAAAAATGGTCTTTAACTGATTTAGTTTCAGAATGAAATAATACCAGTAAATATCAATATATAAAAAACTGAATGTCATATTATATAGTGCATTCTCACTAATTATTATATGAAAATGTTTAGATTAGTGAAAAGTTTGGATTAGAGAGGTAATATATACTTTGAACAATCAAAATGAATTACAGAATAATTATATATAAAATTTAAAAAAAAATTTTTATGCTGTTTGGTACTATACATATATAGTCAAGTCCACTTAATAGAGCATTGGATAAGGGAGCAATTGCTTGAAAGAGCACTCACCCATGTTCCTGATTTTCTCCCTTTTGTTTTAAGTAAGTAAGACTCCCATTAACAAAACACCAGACAGTAAAGCAGTCTGTTTAAATGAGTGCCATGTTGGTGACATTTTTAGAGCAGCAGTCCACATAAGGAAGCACTATTCTAAGAAAGGTTTATGAGACTATCTTTAATCTTATGGTTTTTGGGTACATGACAACAGGACTCTCTACACTATGATATACGTTATATGAAGATTTGATAAAACCTTCCATTGGACAGTGTTCCATTGGACATGGACAGTCAAAAGATTTCTTACAGGTTTTATTGGACACATATATAATATGAAATTGCTTCTCATACATGTCATAAAATGTATATAGATAAACAACACAGATCACATGTATATTCTCATCTTGAGTAGACAAGGCATAATTTATTAGTAACTAAATTTCAGAGATTCCATAATCTTACTTTAAGACGGTACTGTATTATTTGTTTTTATACTGTATGTCCCATTAGAGAGCATTCAGAAATTTTGGAACAAGGATGTTTACATCTTTCCTGCTAGACTTTCTACTGTATTTCTGGGAAGATGTGTAAGAAATGTGACTAATAAATATATTGCTATTAGTACTTACATATTTGTATTTTATTGAATAAAATAAAATTGATCATACAAGAATGGAAATCAATATGTAAATATAGTGTATATAAACTTATGTAAGCACACTTGTAAATACTTGTAATCACACTTGAAAATATTAAAATTCATTTTCAAGTGTGTTTACAAGTTACATAAAGCCAAGACATGGAAAAGTGAAGAGAATCAAATTCCATTAACAACACCATTTTGTTACTTCAAATAAGGGAGCATGATACTCCCTTATCAGGTTAAGATTAAGTAGTTTGGATTAGTGAGAATGCACTTTTAGCATTCTAAAATTACCAAATTCATATAGTGATTTATTGCTTAACTAATGTTTTTTCATTTTAAAATATATGGTTTTATATGAATGAGTTCTATTCATATAATTTCTTCAAAAACAAATTTATTTCAAAAATTTAAATTATTAAAAATATAAGAATTTAAGTAAATTATCTAAAAGTATGAAAGATTAGCACTTTATTTTCTATTTATATAATATTGTTCTTTACTTTAAAAGTAATTATTATTAGATAGTGATATTTTTTACTATGAATAAAATATACAGAAAAGTATTTTAATGCTTAATAAAATTATCATCTAACTCTCATTTATATATTTAGTTACTTTTAATAAATTAAAAGTAACTAATTTATATGTTTAAATATATCTACACATAAAAAGGCTAATTGTTTATCATATATAGGCATTTATGTTAATAACTTAATATACAGTATACTTTTGATTATCTGTGTGCAGACTATCCATGCATGCTTAAATCTTGATAAAAATTTATATCAGGAAAACAGATATGAGCATTAAAAAAAGAAAAAAAGCTGTATTGTTAATTCTTGCTATTTAAAATGGTATGTTGAGCATTAAAACTACTTCCAGAACCTCAAGGCATAAAGTAAATGGACTAACAAGTACAGTAATTGTAGTTGATTCTTGAACAATTTGGCTTTATATATTTAATAAAAAAAATACAGTATACACATAAAAATATGATGATATCTACCTGGAAACAGTCATTATTGCTTAAGTAAATTAACTTCACTCTGACACTGGGGATGAAATACTAAATACAGAACCTGTTACTGGTGTAATTTTGTGTGAAAAAATCTTCCTTTCACAAACGTTTTTGAGCTGTCGAGATAGCTCTTCTTCAGGTAGAGAAAAAAAAAATTTTCATTTAAATATCTACGTTCCATTTTTCGAAGTGTTCCGTCGGAATTTTTTCTCTACCTGAAGAAGAGCTATTTCGACAGTTCGAAAACGTTTGTGAAAGGAAGATTTTTTCACGCAAAATTACACCGGTAACAGGTTCCGTATTTAGCATTATTGGTTAATAATACAATAAAACCTGTGTAAACCAAAATTGAACCATATTGAATATTTTTCCAATTTGATGGGTTTCCATTTCGTATGGAGTTTTTTTTAACGTAGCAAACTGCTCCATTCCAAAGATTTGTCCTATTTAGGCAGATTGCTGTTTTACTTGGGTTTCATTTTCAGCAGGTTTTTACTGAACTGTGTGATGCTAGTTCAATAAATTTTTCCTAATTTTTTGTTAATTAACTAATTATTGTTCTCAAAATGTATTTTATTCATAATATAGAAACTATTATGTTAAATTTAATATGAAATTAAAATGTAAATAAAAGAAAAGTTAATTAGCTTTCATTAAACCAGACTTGCAGATTATCCATGTTTCCCTGTTATCCATGCTTTCATTACTGGTGATTACCCTGTATAATCAGAAGTACACTGTATTATAAAATATAATTATATGTTTTAAGTTTATTATTTTTAATTGGGAATTAATAATGTATACTTCAAATAAAATTATAAAAATATAATTTTTTTATTTTATTTACTTTTCCTTGGAAATAATTATACTGACGTTTATCTATACTGATAGTGGAGTAACAATTGACACATTATTTTTATATTTACAACACTAATTTTTTGATGCATTGAACATTTTAAAACATTACATAATCTCCTGAAGCACAAACTGTTTCAAAACATTTCTTTGTTTGCAAATTTCATTCTAATATCTAAAATAAGAAATTATATATAATGTACATTCAGTCATATTTTATGTTAAAAGATTATGAATCAATAATTAAGAATAAATGAATCATTAATAACATTAATTTTTAAATAAAATTCTATAAACTAATTATTTTGTTTTATATTATAATGAAATAATTGAACTGACTGAGTTCAAGGAATAAATGCACTAAGCATTATTTTTTAAATATAATTTTATAATAGCAAGAATTTATTAACATCTGAATTAATAAAAATAATAATAATACTTTAAGAAAGCTGCAATTACTCTGTTTAAAACTTTTGTATTTTCAAAATGGGTATCTACTACATAGTACACAGAATGTCAGTCAATAATTTTTCAAATAATTTTGAGAATAAAATTATGAGATAAAAAAGAAAAGTTTTCTATGGAAAGGTTTTTTTTATGAAAGTTAATTTTTGGATAATTTAATTTTAATTAAACTAGTATTTTTTCATTTCATTTTATTTTGCCCTTCTTTTAGAAGGCATATTCTTTTTCATGTAATCTTTTGTAAGAAATTAATTCACAAAATCTCTTTGACACACATTTTTAGACTTATTTTATCTTCAATGTTATCTTCACAAATGTTATCTTCAAAACATTTGTCATTTCAGAACTGTAATTGTTGTATGATAGAAAAAAATTAATTAAGTGTAATGGTTATGATGTCATGTTAAGTAATAAAAAAACAAATCATTTTCATTACAAATCATGTTATGATTGAGTGATATATCTAAAAATGTAATATATTTTCTTTGTTTGATCTTATATAAGTTGTAGAATCTTTGGCTAGGAAATAATCTCTTAAATTTCTAAACATTTTGATATTGTTATTAATTTGTTATTCATTTGAATTGTTAATGTAAACTATAATGCATTACTACATAAATTTCATCTAGCATTGAAGGTGACAAGCTGACAAGCTCCTTGAGAATGATTAAACAAGGTTATTGCATTTAGTTTTACAATTTATTGCAATATAATTCTTAATGAAACTGTTTCTATTTTTATTTAAAGGTTGACAGAAGCTACAAAAACATTTTTCAGTAATTTTTAGTTGACCTCCTTAAAGTGTGTTAGATATATTTTTAAGATATAGAAATTAAATTTATAATTTTAATAATAATAAACAATAAATATTAAATTTGAAAAAATTACTTTTTAATATTATAATGTTATAATTCTAATGATTCAGATTCAATGATTACAATGCATAACTTATAGTTTTTATGTTTATCTTATTTTCTGTTGTAATATTCTAAATATACGAAGCATGTTTGAAGTTTTGCCCTAAATATGAAGATTAAATTTTAGGACAACAGAACTTGCATAATTGGTAGTATAGTCCCTAGTATGCTTAATTAAAAATTGTCAATTAGATGTACAGTGCTTAATGAATGAGTAACAACCTTTATAGATACCAAAACAAAACTTTTACAAAAACTAATGTTTGAGATTTCTTAACAAAGAACTATCAACTAGTTCAAAAACTTTAACAAGTTTTGTGCTGGATATCTAAGAGGGTTGTGTTACTCATTGTTTATTACTATGCTTCTTGTCAATTTAAATGGAAAATTTGCTTGCCAGTGAAAATTGTTGGAAAGCATAGTAATGTGGTAGCACTTAAACTACATGATGTCAGTGATGATCTTGTGCTTAGCTACAACATGCCTAACATCATGCTTTGCCCTCATTCATTATTCATATCTCCAGACACTTTGTATTCTTAATTTGAATTAAAACTTTTCTCTAGGATTTCCTTTATTCCAATTAAGAATACAAGGTTTCTTTTGTCAATTTCATAACACACACTATGAATGAAGTCCAATATATACAGTCGACCCCCCTATAACACGGGTTCCTATAGTTTGGATTCCTATATGACGGTGAAAAAATTGCGACGGTATCTGTACAAACATGGTAAAAAAAAAGTCCTATAATTCGGTAAAACTTCATCGGGCAGCCGAACTACTTTCCGCCATCCAGCACCATGCTACGGAGAATTTAGGCGGGTAAATTGAGTTTACTATTGTCTGTACAGTATTATATATAAATTATATATAAATTAGGTACTGTATATATAATTATATATTAACTTAATTTATTGTAACTTTATTATAATTACATATATACTTTCCGCCGTCCAGCGCCACACTACAGAGAGTTTAGGCGAGTAAGTTGAGTTTACTATCGTCTGTACAGTATGTAAATTAGGTACCGTAAGTCTAAT